CTTTTCTCCTTTGCTTCCTCTTCTGGGAAGGAAGAGGTTAATAGACAGCATCTGCCATCCGCTTTACTTGCCAGCTCAGCCTTAAATGGTGACAATCTACTAAGCAGACTGGATCCAAATTTGGGATGTGAGGATCAACTGCACCTTTACATCCCACTGAAGAGCTGTTCTTTGCTTATTCCCCTTGGAAATCAGTTTTTTTGAGGTTGGTTTTTTCTGGCAATTTCAGAGTTACAAAAATACAAGATGAGAGATGAAGGCCTGGTTATTCATCGTATCACGTTTATCACTCCTGAACCTCACAGAAGTTGAGCTCTTACAAATTGTGAGTATGTTTATGAAAACAAACACTCTTCCCCTATTTTTCAGAACTCTGAGCACCAGAAGAGATAACTTGCTTATTCAATGTGCCCATTGACACTGGCAGAAGAAATCATTCACCAAGGAATTAAATGAGACAGATAGTACAGGGTGGATGGCCTTATGTTTCAACAACATATCAGCAATGTCATATTATTTGGAAAATGTTTTCAAATTATGCTAATCATTGGCTGCTTTCTGGTCCCCAGCTGGTATAAGTGATACAGATAATATATGCAAGAGAAGTAAATTTTAACAAAAACACACACATATACGTAGTCTATCAACAACACTATCAGCATCAATACAATTCTCACAGAGATCATAGATAAGAGCACTGTGAAGTAATGAAAAAAAACCCCAAGATAAAAGGTAGTTCTACAGTTCCTTGTTTTCATGATGAATGATACTCCTCATTTAGATGCCATTATTTCCTTGATTTCCTTCCATTTCACTTCTGACAACACACCAAGTCTTATTTCCCCTTTCACGTTTATCTTCCTTTCATAAACGACTGCACTGATTTTGTACATCCTTTTAGTCAGTGCAGACAGCATTGCTCAGATGCTAATCTAAGAGCATACTTCTTTGGAAGTCAGTGTCACATTCCCATACTACTTAATACAGAGAGGACAGAGCGAGAACAGTTGATAAAGAAGCAAAGTGGCCTCCTCACCTGTGCCCCAATACAGAAACAAGGGAAACATATCTCCTTTGAATGCAACAGCTACCAAAAGTGCTACTGTCATTGGCAGCTTGGCCTTCCCTCTGCCTCTGACTTGGCCATCAGCACTGGCTATGGCAGACAAACAGATGTGCGGCGCAGTCACCATGCTACCTCTTTGCTTCCTGCAGCTCCAGAAAAAAAGATGCCCAAAAGTCACTAACTCAAACAAGAGCCACACAGATAAATACATACATCTGTGTGCTGATTTTTCACCTTGGTCTAACGGGGCTGAAATGATAAAGCCAAAAAGCTTTTCCCCACTCCCACATTTAACCTGACACTCTAGTTAGGAAAAAATTAGAAAGAAAAGTAATTGAGAAACCAAATCCCTGATCCCACTATAAACAATTCATATACTCAGATGTTATTGCCATCTTACCAGGTAAAAGCACCTTGCAAGAGAGGCACCTTTAATGAACATCAGAGCACAGCTCCTCACATACTTACTTGTCTGACCATCTGTGTATGTGTAACAGTTCTAACTTTTGCTTAGAACTACATTTATTATAACGCTTTTACTCCAGAAGTAACCCCTTCTGTACTTAACAAGGCTTCCTCTGAAGCAATACACTCTCACACAGAAAGGCTACCAAATTTGGTAACCCCTTCTGTACTTAACAAGGCTTCCTCCGAAGCAATACACTCTTACACAGAAAGGCTACCAAATTTGGGTTCCAATTTGCTGTTTAAAAAAATACAAAGCAAAAGCATAGTTACAGTATGTTTTTGTTGTTACAGCAGAGGACAACAAGTCCAAGCTTGTGGACACGACACACATCTTTCAACCTACTTTGAATGATTTATCTAAAATTAATCAGAGCCCACGTGCAGTCTTCCTGTTGCACCAAACTCTATCTGAAATATTCTTTTGGAAAATTAAGTACCATACTTCTTATGTCAAAATCCCAGGGCAGCCACTCACCTGTCACCATTGTTACAGAACTGGACTGCAACCACTTTGTCCTAAATAGGAGGGAGGGAAAAAAATAGTAGTAAATGCTTTGTATGCTGAAACACTAATCCAAGAAGATCTTCATTATGAGCTTCTATTCAGCAAATTGCATCTTCCCATACATCTCCTACAACATACTATCTTACAAATTCAAGAACAGAAAAGTCATATTTGAAGTTAAAACTTTCCCAGACATATTGTGTTAAATATTGAAACAGAAAACTTCAGGGAGGTGATGGTTTTGTGTTGCTCCACAAGCAGCTCAGAGACAGAAACGATTTCTGACTCTCTCCCTGACACTGAGACATTCAGGAGGCAGAAGCTGCAGCAGCTCTGTTCTTGCCTGAGCACAGCCTTCCTGCACAGAGCCACAGGACCATACACCCTGCCCGGGTAAGCTCTGCCTGGGAAACTCTGCACCTTTTAAACTTTAAGGAACGCCAGGAGCTCACAAAGCCTAGTAGGTACAGCACTCAACAAGATGTAGAAAGAACGACTTAACCAAATAAATGATCACAGCAGGTTTGCAATTTTTAGACCTAACATTAAAGCACATCAAAATATTTCATTTAAAAAAAAAAAAAGCAAACCCTGGCCTTATTTCCACTTCTAAATTGTTGAGAAACAAATGTTCTGTTTTAGACATGGTTTTGCCTTTTTTTTATTTTGCTAAATACTTGTGTTGGCTACATGCACTTGCTATCTTTACTCCCACTGACGTATCTAGCTCCTGATAACCAAGTGTCCAATTTGGGATTTTTTTCAAGGGCAGGCTGACAGCAGTCTGTGGCATTAAGAAAAGTAAACTTTAAAAAAAATGAAAGTAATTACAGTTTCTTCCAAACCTGAACTGATGAATACAGAAAACAGCTTTTATTTTGTGAGCAAAATACTTGTTAAGATTTGTTGGCTTGGAGCTCTGAGACTTAAAAGTGAGACCCATAACTCCCAATGAAGTCCAGTGAATCAATTTAGACCTCAGCCTTAATCCATAAAATACTGTTGAGGTGGGCAGCTGGGCTATTAAGGTCAAAGATAAATGCTCCAGATTCCTCAAAAAGTGACAGCCCTATCAGTGTTGCTATAAGCTTGCCTTTCTGTTTACCATATTGTTTACCATGCACATAATAAATAATGCAATCATCACCTGTTCTCGGTAACAGTTAAGAAATGAAGAAAGATTTGATACTGTTTTAGTGACGCTTCTTTATGGGGTTTCATTAAAATTGAGACATTCAACAGTTTTACTAAAAGCTATCAAGACTCAAACTTGAAAACTAACACTGAAAGTCACCGTATAAATGTTTAAAACAGCTTGAGTTTTTATGAGAATCCTTCTGCATTACCTGAGAAAGGATGCTTTTAAACTTCCTTTATTTTCTAAATGAAGTTGCCAACATGAGCCAAAGTTTGACTGCACACTCTAAAACCAGAATTACTTTGTTTTTTCTTGTTCTGTGGATTTGAGGTCACAACTAAAGTTAAATGCTCAACAGTGAATTTAATAAGAAAAAAATCACATCGTGCATGAAAACTGCTTTAATTCCTCATTCCAACACAGACTTTCTCCAAGAATATGGGAGAATCATCTAGTCCCTTAGTTTCCTGGGGGAATGAAACACATAAAGCATGTTTTGTACACATCTCCTGCCTCAGAGGAATTTAAAAACAAACATACCACAAATTTTCAGGCATTTAAATACCACAGTGTTGAGAGCCAACTCAACTCTAAAGGTAGAAAACAAGTCGAATAGGAGGTACAGGATCAAAGTTCCTGAAATAAGGCAAAGCGGGGAAAAAAAAGACTTGCTTTCTGATTCGTCTCTTACCGTATGAGATTCTAACTCGGCCATTTTCTCCGGAGATTCTGAGCCCAGATAATAAATTCTTATCACGTGGTCAGTACTACCTGTTGCAATGAACATGCCACCTAAGAAAGACAGTGTTTTCTGTGAGAAGAAAAGCCATCCAAGGAACAACTAATTTTAATTACTGCTTTATTGTCAAAGCAGCAAACTACAGTTTTAAACAGAAAATTTCAATGTAATCAAAACATGCATCCTGAACAAAGCAGTTCACTGACAACTTCTGCTTTGATCTGTATTTTCTCAGACCGTATCAGCTTTAGCATAACTATGAGCTCTTCAGTATCTTCCATCTGCAAACCCTTTTGACCAAAGAAAGAGAATATTACAAGTTACAACATTCATCCAACAAACTATTCCACTTTCACTCAGAAATTACCACAGCTCTCTCCATCAGCCTATGTGGAAAATTAGACAGGGAAAGGTTTCATATTCTTACTGGTAAATATCAAAGAAAATATTTAAGCCCATCTTCAATATCTATTTGACACACATCAGATAAATTATTGCTGAATTAGGAGTTATTTTCTTGCAACGTTTGTTCTATTTACAACATTGCACAAAAAGGGCACTATTGTGTAGTTAATTGCATTGAAATGGTTTCAGTTATTTCAGAATTTCAGGTTTTAAAAAAGGAACATGGGCAAGGCTTACATGGCTGTAGAATAGTTCTCAATTTCAGATAGGAAAAATTAATGAGAAATTATGTAGTTTTCTTTGTAAAAATCACTATTTTTGAGAATTCAAAGCTGCAACAAAGAATGTCAAGCTAATATTTTCAAACAACTTGAACTGATCCTCCTAGAACTTAGCCAAATTTGGAAGATTAGTAAAAGTGTAATCTTTGAACAGAGGCCACCTGTCTGCCAGATTTCAAGAACTTTTCACTCAAAAACTTTACAAGATAAAACCTTAAAAGGATGTTACAAAGAAAAATCTCTGATGTGCAAGACAACAGACTGAAAGCATAGTTTTCCTTGGTAGTCGTCAAGACATTTTAGCTTAAATTATAGGGAAAAAAAAAAAAAGAGAGAGAAAAAGCAGTTTGAGGTAGACATTTAGCATGGAAAACTTCAAACAACCACAATTTGACAGTGCCATAATTAACTGAGAAAGCGTTTAATGCCATTTGTATTTAAAAAGAAGCAACAGTCCTGTCACCAAAGTAATTATAGTTCATAAATAAGTTCAGCTACCTTACAATGCATACGTACCGGAACTGAAAGATGAACAAGATATCTGAACGCCAGGCCTGGATCTCTCTGCAAATTTTACAGGGCGATCCCTATATGCAACAACACAACATTTTTCCTTTTCATTACTTTATTCTGACGCTATTCAACAAGAATAGTGCACCTCAGGTCAGCAGGTTAAGGTCAATATGCCCATCCTAAATCTCAGAATTCTCACCTAAGTTTACTAGAACTTTCAGTAATTTTCATTCTTAGTTTAGTAAGAAAACCATCATTTTCTAAATTAAAAAGACTATTTAACTTATTTACCATGATACTTACCAATTCAAATCTATTTAAAACAGAACCTGGCAAACCATTAGTTTATTAGCATTTAATACCTATTAAGTATGGGTTTGAGGCTGTCTACATACGTCTGTTCTTCTGATTAAAAGCAAATAAATTCTTCTGCCTGTACATTTTGGACAAGGATTTAGTCCTAAACATAAAAGCTGAAAGTTCTTCCACAACACTGGCTCGCAAAGCACAAAACCCAGAAATAATAGCCCTGATATTTGCCTCCCCTCTGGGTTGTAATGCCATAGTCTCCCCAAAACGCGTAAGAAAGCGCTCCCTGCCCCACACACTGCTATGGCACTCATGCACAGCGTCTCTATGGGAGAACACATCCCAATAAGCTTGTTTATTGAGAAAGAACATGCCCTTATTTAATTATCTCAGCATTCCTCTCCATGCTAAAACTCAAAATAAATTTGTCCTTTATTTAAGATAATCATAATTATCTGAACAGGCTTACTTAAATTTCATGGTGTTAGCATGCCACTGCCAGAAACAGATTGTTCCGTCAGCACCAGTAGAAGTGAGGTATCGTGTTGTTCCTTTCCTTGCCGGAGAGAACTAAAAATAAAGTTGTAACAGTTAAACCAGTTAATTTCTTTCTCCCCTTGCATGCTGAAAACTTGGAAATGGACGCTGACAAGACTCTTTCACAAACATATTAGCTTTCTCCCCAGGAGTACAGAGAACAATATCAGGGATAACCACAGAATTTGAACTTCCATAAAAATAAAGCTGAGGAAATGGAGAACACCTACATTTTGACTAGCAAGCCTTTGTTTCTACCACACAAAAGTTAGTAAATTGGAGAAATGAAACAAGTCTAGACACTTTTAATGGGGAATAAGGTAATATGAGGGATGAGAGGAATACTTCTTTCCAGGATAGAACTGGATCAAACATAGTAACAAAGATAAAAGTGATTCCTGCATCCAAGCCCAATGAAAAACAGCAGCACAGTAGGACCCCCACTCCCTCCCTTTTCCTGAACCTCTCCTCTACCTCTCTAAGGACTAGGAAATCTTTTCATTCTGAAGTCTCCCATTTTAATTTCATAACTGCAGTAATACCTTTAATCCTCTGGCTACCTGGTATTTCATAAAGAGATCGAGCACTGTTTCCTCAAAAGCCATGACTGATTGTAATTACTCTTTAAATTAACAGAGTTTAGCAAAAAGCTTGTGAGGGATGCATATATACATTAACAAATAACATACAAAACACAAAACCAGGTTGTAAAATACATCTCCAGAACAATCAACTTAAGTAACTTATAGCATAGTTAAAATCAAATGAAATTGGAAGTGTAGGCAAGAGGGGGAGAAACGAGACTCACAGGGACTGCTGGCATGGTGAAGACTGTGATGAATCAAAGGCAGCAAGGCTCCAGAGGAGAGGGATTCTGAGCCAAATATCCCCCTCGTTCTCCCCTCTACGTATATAACCTGCCAAACTGCAGGATTGTCTTTTTCATCCTAGAATTATGTTTTGTTGGAGGTTTCTGCCTGGCAGTTGTGGTTTTTTTAAAGCAAATAAACTGCAAATTACTAGCCGTTATTGACTGTGCCACCACTAGAGAACTGAGTGCTGGCAGTTTAGGCTTTTTTTTTTTTTTCCTGCTCTGCTATGGCTCACTGGGCACTGGCCACACAACTGAAACTGCTGGGCACAAGCACAGACTCTCTGCAAATCCTGATCTGTGCTGTGCCGTGGCTGCTGCAGCGTCTACATATGCCACGATACGCAGAACAGCTCCTTACAGTACTGGCTAAGACAACAAGCAAATAAGAAATGTGGAGTCAGGATTTTTAGCTGACAGTATTCTTCTGAAAAATAAACGTTCTCTATGAACACATGACTGCTGGGTCAGTTGCTGTGCAAGGACTACCACCAAAGATGCCAGACATGTCTCCCTCGCTCAGCTAGTTGATCTGATGCTCTCCGTGACCATGCATTTGCTAAGTCTAAGGAAGCAGCAATGGGACCACATAGTTAAAGGCAGCTGGAAGAAGCAGGACCATCCCCTCAGGCAGTAGCTGGCCACTGCGCAGGAGTGAGTTTGCCAGGAAACAACACCCTTGAGTTGGGGCAAAAATCTATCCCTGAATACTAATCCACATCTCTTACTACCATTTTAATTCAAGGGTTTAGGAAAAAAATGTGATTCCTTACCTGTATGGAAGTAATGGAAGCTGAATGGCCCTGCAGCACTGCGACTGGGGCACAGGTTCGAAGACACCATACTCGGACTACTTTATCACAACTGCCTGCAGCGAGCAGCGTGTTCTCGTAGTTAACAGCCATGTCAGAAATTTCAGCTGAGTGTCCTCGCAATGTTGAGAGCAGGCGCCCATCATCTGTAGCCCAGATTTTGACCAAACAATCATCTGACCCCTAATGCCACACAAAAATTTCCAAAGATTATGTAAAATAATATACATGTGTTACGTGTATATAATGCACATGTACACTGTAGTCAAACAAGTATCTAAAACACCATTGCACCATAAACCCACCAAAAGGACAACTTCAGTGGGATTCCACAGAGGCACAACTATCAGAGTTTGGGGATCATCTTATGGGGTCAAGGACGTACATGTTTATAAGACAGAAGACACTGTCTCATGTTTCATACCAAGATATGATTATCGCTGCTAATGTAACTCCTCTCGGTACAGTTCAATAATAAGGTAAATTTAAGAAGATAAAATGTTTCATTACATACTACCAACAGTCATCTTTATCTGTGTGAGACAGATCCAAACAGCAGCAAAAATCAAAGTGATCGTAAGACTTAAGTTCCAGGGAAAAAGAGCACTTAAGCATCTGAGGGATCTCAGAGCCTCTGCCATGCTCCTAGAGCTGTAAGGCAGCTGTACCACCAGGTTCAATTTCCATAAAGGGAAGAAAGTTGGACTACTCAAACAGAGAAGTCGTGCAACATCATGTGCAACCAAAATATTATGTCAGTGAAATTTCAGTTCAGGACAGGACACAATTCAAAATCATATCCAACGTAGATCGTTGTAAAATACTTTTGCCTATAGTAGCAGCTACATAATTTCATATTCAATCCCAGTATTGCCAAGAATTTTTAGACAGTCCACAGACCTTTCCACTATTCAGATAAGAATGCTACTACTAGTGGCTAGGATCGATGCTATATATTCAGAAACATAACACAATCAAACTAACTGCAATATTAACATCATTTGACTTTAAATTACATTTCGTTAACTGCAGCTAAATTTGAACACAAATCACTTTCAGTTCTTCATACAACAGCAGATGAGAAAAATTTCTTTATTGCATAAACAAAAACAGAAAGGCCCTCACTATGACCCAGAGTAATTATCATAACAAAATCTCTATTTGACCAATTCATAATGAGTGGAGAAGCTAGCAAGAACACCAAGACAACCATTAGCCTGCCAGGTAATCTGTTTCTGAACACCTATTGATAAGCGACAAGGGGAAAGACAAACAAGACAGGGATTAACATTGACAGCTAAAAGATGCATTACTAATTTGAAAAATCTGTTAATTTTTAGATAGACACAACAAAAAGCAAGGGCGGTATCACAGAAACGTATGTTAATATATTCTGGAGAAAAACTTAAAATAATATTCACATATTCACTGACATACTACAAATTCTAGAAACTAAATTTAGCAGAGAAGTAAATTGCAGATGAAGTAATGAGGTCTATTAATCATCAAGTTTTTACTGAAAAGTAAGGAAAGGATTGCTAGCATTTCCAAGGTTACTGAAAGGCAAAATGCAGTTTTAAAAAAACCCAGCAAGCAACATGCAAATTAATTCCAAATTCCAGAATACTGCAGGTGCAGTAAGGTGCATTCAGTAAGAAAGATGATAAATAAAGAAAACCAAGCACGTGTTTCAAGCGAGAGTTGCAAGCTCTGGACCGGAACAACCCTACTGTAAGGTTCTACATGGGGAAGCAAATAACTGACTAAGTTTCAGTCTACCGGAGCCGTGAGCAATTTTAAAATACCAAGTCAAGTGAAAAGTGAAAATTAGCATAAAAAGAGATGGGTTTTCCATACATTTTGAGATTGTTCTTCCCTTCTTTTGCTGGAAGCCGTGTCTGCATCTCAATCAGTAACTAAGAGGCTGTTGAGGGACTCAAGAAAGAAAGAAATCAAACCAAGCAAAACGATCTTCCAAGAAAAGCACAATTTTTACACTTACTGTAAAAATTCTTCTCCCACTGCGATCAAAGGCTATACAATAAACAGATGATAGATGCCCCAAAATCCTCTTGTGCATCTTCATGTGTTGGTAGGTCGATGTTGGGAACAAGTGGCTGAAACGTCCACACCCAGTTAATTGCCTGGCAGAAATTATATTTACTGGGAGAGAAAAATAAAACAAAAAGAAAACTAAGACATAAATTTTGTCCAGAACTCACAGTAAATAAATATTAAATATAATGTTTGGTAACAACTTTATTATTCTAATCCATAAATCCAAACCTCTTCCACCTTATCAGAACATGCTATACAGTCTTGTAAACAGAAAGCCCACTCCTGATGAAGCCTTTCAATACCTACCACACCACACACTGCACCTGTTTTCTTAACAAAAATTAAAGCAAAATAGAAAGTTCCCCCCACAACTAGAAGTTATTCCAATGTCCAATTCATGAACAGGCAACAGATACATTTATTCTACATGGACTTGGAAAACCTGCTTTAATGAAATTATGTGTTAGTAATATCAATTACAACAAATTTCTTTTTAGAGTAAAATAATAGTTCATTTTAAGCACTTTTTTCCTGACAAAAATCTTTCCTTGGAATGAGTGCCAGATCATATGTGAGGGTCAATCGTCGTCCAAATGTTCCTCAGAAAACTTCCCTCATTATAAGCAGCAGCAGCAACCTCATTGCATTTCTATGGCAATGGAATTGAAGAATAAAAAAATGTGTGGCACTGATGGAAAAAGCCCCAGTCAAAAGAATGGCAAGCACAAGAAAAAAAACTGCAACAACAACAAATTATTTCATATCGCTGTACCTAGCAGTCCTTACAAGAACAGCCTGAAATCTAGATGCACAAAAACATCGTGTAAAAAAAAGCACTGTTAGCAGTTTCACTGACAATAACTACGAATCTTTCCACTAGCCAAGAAAAGGAGATGTGCCTTTGTTGGGACACACCATCAAATGAAGATCATTATGGTTGCAGAATACAGAAAGACCCTAATTCTAATCTTTGACTTGATACATAATTTGAGATCATTCTGAGTATTTAATTTTACCTATCCTAATTTATACCATTTGAACTTCTGATTTTAAAGTTTTGAGAGTTTTTTTTCAATGGCACTTGAAGATCTGACATTGCTTTATTGGTGGGTTTTGTCGAGGCCTTGTGATAGCAGGCTCCCTGAAGAAACCCTTATCTTGTCTACTGCACATTGAAGTCAGCAGGGCTTCAGAGGAGCACCATGAAGCTCCTTAGTGCCTTTCAATTCTTTCATTTAAAAGTATTGTGAACAACTTGACCCATTTTCTTAATTGTATCGTCATATCATTGCCTATCTACACAAAAAACGGTTATGGACTATATTAAAAAAAAAAAATCTACGAAGTCAAGAAGCATAATTTCAAAGGGTTACTAACCCATAACACACTTCTGTGAATTTATAACATTGAAGTATTTATACACAAGCAGAGAGCTAAACAGGCAAGGAATATAAATTGTTTCCAGATTTACAGAAAGTAGCTTTGTTTCTCAGTTTTGTGCTTTGAAATTTGGACTATTTTTAATCGCTTGGTGCAACTGAAACAATACATATGAGAAAAAAAAGTTGCATAAAAGGTGAAAATGCTTGCAAAAGTCACCAGGCTCCCACCATGACTTCAACTTCAGTCAGTATTTTTTTTTTCATGTAAAACCACATATTCAGCAGGACTAAAAAAGCAAAACACACTAAACCAAATTAATTTATTATCTACGTACTATTCAATTGACACCTGATATTACAGAGGAGCTGTTAAATGAAACTGCCTCCCCTAGCAAAGTAAAAATGAAATCTTTAACCCTTTTCCCCCACCTCTTAAAGGAGTCCACTGAGATCCCACAGTGATAAATGCTGTACAAAGGTACCATCAGGTTTGTCTACACATTATTTTATTTACTATTTAAGTATGCCAGCTTAAAAGCTAAGTTCTTAAAAATACCACACCTCCCTTTCCCCCACACTGTGGACACTGTTATGCCAACACAGAAACGTAGTCATTTAGTCATATGGTAATTCTGCTGTGCCTTTCAATGCTTAAATCATTTAAATACATAATAACAGTGTATCTGCCTTTAAACTATTTCAAATGGCTTTGAACATTTTTTTTAACCACACAAAGAACTGTGTGAATCAAAAAGGTATACTCCCATTTCAAAGTATTCCCAATAATCACAACATCTTCTGTGTACTACAGTGTTCCCATGAAATCCTTCTGAAAATTTACCATTGCTGTTTCCTGTAAATCACATGAAGGAAACACTAAAAGGTGTAACAAACAGTCAGGCACCTAACTCACACAGCCTTTCATTTGGCACTTGGCACCTAACTTTTCTGGTCAGTTCCCAGACTTGCAATCAGTTCAGCTTCAGAGGATGTGAAAGGAATTTCACTTTTTTGCGTCTATTTCCCGATTTGCACAATGGGGGCGAAACTCCTCAATCTCCCACAGATAATTAAAAAATAAAAACCACTGCTTATGAAATTCTTCAATCACAAGTTTCAGAGAAATACAGAACTATTGTCGTGCCATAAGGAGTACCATCTTTATCAAGGCAATAGCATCTCTGATCAAAAAGTATCAAGTATTCCACATATCTGATCCTCAGTATAAAAATGCTTAGGGTATACTAGAAACATACGCCACACACACAAAGCTGTGTTTGAGATTTTTGAATCTTCCCACACTTTATAAACTGTCATTGCCTTCAAAGGAACTGCAAAGCATAAAACCTCCATGAAACAAAACAAACATCTCCAATTCCAGTTCTCATATTTTTTGGTAGAAGATTAATACACAATATCTAAATAGGGAATTACCCACACATGACAAAAATCCCTGTCAAGTTCGCTTTCTTCAGTACAATGAAGTTATTGTACTCATAAGGCCTAAAAGCATAAAAAAATCCAAACCAAAAATCAATTCCCACACAGAGAATTAGCAACATAGTAGCCCTAAGTCACTTTTAGCAACCTATCTAATTAGCTGCTGTATTTCATGCTATACTGGGCATAACAGCTGCCAAGTCTACCCCTTCACTATCCCCTGCCAGGAAAAGAAAAAACTTTCCAAACTGCATTGATGTTACTTCACATAAAAAAAATGAACATATCTAGCCTTCTTGTTAAGAAAAGTAAGTTAGTTTTGTCCACAAACAGAAGAGCCGTCTTCTCAGGTGAAGTTCCTTGCTTCTAGCTGCTGAAATGACTGCTACCGAGGTGCAGAGATGCCCGGGATGCTGCGGTGCGAGGTGGGCTTTCTCTCCCCTAGCCTGTCCTGGGAGCAACCTGCTCCCACCTCAGCACCAGCACAGCCAGCTCCTGGCACGCTGGGGAAAGCCTGGCTTAGAGACACACTCGAGTGCCTCCTCGAACTACCAACCTGTAGTACTAACCAAGGGTGACATGGTAAAACACACACGTTTTTCTGTTTCTTTCTTGCAGTCTTTGGTGCTTGAAGATTGCACCTTCAGGAAAATTACAGTCCTTAGTAAGTACATACAGGCACAGTTGCAGGGGGCAGAGAGGAGCTGCATACGCTATACAACAGCAATTCTTAAATCAGAATCCATTCTACTAGAGATAACAGCACAAACGTAAAAACCCTTGCAAGAAAGCTCACCTAGGAAGGATAAAACCAAAACCCTACAACAATAACCCATCAGTGAAAACAAAATTTAAAAAAAACCCCAGACATCACAAATTTCAAACTTAAGTCACAACTTCAGGAGGAGTTAAAACATTTCAGCATGGACAAAGTCATCTAGCTGCAGCAGTTTTCAAACTGCTTGAATTCTTCCTCTCCCTATAAATCCTTGTCTCACTCCATTTTTTGCAAGCAAAAACAGAAACCAGAATACTGGTATAAACGTTTGTTTTAAAAATAGTTTCTCTAGTATGAAGTGTGATGACTTCACATTAAACTATTATACCCTCTGAAGCAAGCACTGTAACTTCGCAATGAGGACATAACATTTCACATAACCAGGACACGTGGTGAGTAAGCTGTGAACTCATCATAGGGCCTGATCAAACCTGAAGATTGGGTACCACTCGTGGTGTGCAGAACAAACACAAGTCTGGATTTCATAAGAACACTGGGAAATAAACACAGTTGGCTCACACATGCAAACTATCTTCTCAGAGAGTGGTTGTGTGGCCACAAAGGCAGCTAGACCCAGTAAAAGCACCAAAAGAACAAAGTGTTCTGGCTTTCATAGCCGCTGACCTCATGGAACTCATTTACAGCAGAGAAATATCATCGATTTCTGACCTCATCAGAGCACTGCTATTTGGCACGCCTAAGGTAGCTGGATCACCTTGACTGTAAATTTCCATACAACTGTAATGCTTGTTCATTGAGACTATGCTATGAACTTTCTGGTTCCAAATGTTGTGTTATTTTCACTGATGACAGTTACCCACGTAACGATTTCCATAGTCAGGTTAGAATAGCCCTAGTAATCAACTAAAGAGGGAAAACAACCTTCTTTCTAATCTGCTTCATGTGGCCTGAAAAAAAAAAAAAAAAAAAAGAAAAAAAGTCTTGACAAAATCAAAGTACTATTCAAAAGCAGATTTATCATATGTGAGTAACTCCTATTGCTGAGGTACTGTATGACCAATCTTTCAACTTTCTGCAAAGAAACGGTCTAAAAGACCATCCTAAAAGCTATGACAGCATTTTCCCTTCCTCTCCTCCCCCAGCAGACCACCACACAACATACAAACAACATGCTCCTGAGAATGACTTCCACAGGTCAGCACTTTCTCGGAGACTCCCCCAGCCAGAAGATTCCCAGCTCTGCACAACCACGCTGGGATTTCTTGCTCCAGTTCCCGTGTGCACAACCTTGTATTTTGGAGTACAGATCACAAGGTCCCAGCCCAGCCCCAACCAGATGGAAAGGCAAAACCACTGCAGCTACCAACTCTGCCAGCTGTGAGGGCGACCACAAGCAATCCTGTTCTCGCAGCAGAAAAGCACACACCTATGGTGGCAAGCTTCAATCTTTATTACTGGAAGGGAAACAACGTAAGAATACTTTTAGCTGCTAGTTCTATACCTTATTTACCAGTCTACATGGGCAGTTACACAATCATTTCATCTCCCTCATGTACACACATTATTATGGGTGTCTATTAATTCAGCCCAACTACTTCAGCAAGTAATTCCAGAAAACTCAATCTAAGCCAGCACAGTATGGGAATTCACAATTACACCAAAATATTAAAGAGGTCGGGCATATGTCTTCATCTTGTATTTTAAAACAAGACACACACACACACTGCAGTATCTGTGGCTGTCACTACTCACCAGCAAAAAGCACCCATTTTGCACAAATACACACAGAAGAATTTTGTGACTTCCACTTTAGGATTAACAATGGGGAATCCCAAAACCAAACTCTTACCTCCTGTACAGCTTAAGTATAGTTAACTACTTATTTTAATCTTTATACACATTTTCCTCTCTTACATAAACTACTAGTATCTACACCAAGGTGGACTGTATTCTTCCAGGAATCAATACAAAATTAATTCCTGGCTATAAAAGACCCTTTTCATATAACACCTTTGCATTTCTTAAAAAACAATTCACAGGAAAACACCAAAACCAACAAATCATTCTGTTCTCTAAGTCACAAAATAGTCACCAAGCAAACAGCACAAACCTTTGTCATGATGGCATGACACATGCTGAAGTCCAATCTGCTAGTATGGTTCATTAATAATACTGCATATTCCAAAAACACACGGTCTGATTCTCCTCTTATGAAAGAATTAATCCAGGAGCCTTCACAGAAATACGACTATCGAAGTTAAGTGTGTGCAATAAATCTATAATCCAGTCTATTAGCAATCCAACAGCCCAACTGCTATCAATAAAGTAACTGCAGAACTAGCCTAAAAGAATACATAGATAGGTACAGAAGTAACCTTACTAATATATGGAAATTGTTTTCTTTTTTAACGTCCACAGTATGACTCAAACTACCTGACAAAAGCAGGAAAAGTACTAATGCAATAGTTCCCTACGCGCTAGTTCCAGGCAAATATCTATTTCGTTTTCCTAGAGAAGACCCATAACTAACTTTGCTATTCCATCACACCACCACCACAGACCTTATGCAAAGTGTGCTATCGATTTCAACCACAAACAGCCCAGGCTTTATCACTTTCGTATCTGACAAAGATTAATTTTTAGTAATGAGAAAGTACAGAAGCACAAATAGAGGAACAGACATGGTAGAAACAGAAGACTGCAATCATCATCCCTACGTCTCCAAAGGGATAGGAGAAACATATGTGAATGGATTCCCTAACAAACCAGGAAAAGTCTATACATTTGCACAAACATTTACGTGGTAAACACAGACAAAATACCCTAGTAAGAAACAAATCATGACCGACAGGACTCATATTTATGCCTGTAAGAATCAAATTTGTTTGCTATAAAAATAGTTAATGAAAGTTCAGACCATACAAGGAAAATACTTTCCAGTTTAAGCAAAACAGAGCAGCTCTTTGATGATACGTAAGCTGAATGCCTACATATATCTGAGTTTTATACAAGTTCTTTATCTAACTGTGTGGACAACTGAAACTGAATACAAATGTTGGTTGGTGATTATTTCCTTTTGGAAAGGGATGTTGCAAGCAGTCTGTTTTCTGTCATAATCGAACTAAAATGAATTCTTGAGTCAGGAAAGTTCCCTGGGAGCCAGGCGCTTTGTTCTGGCTAAGATTCCTGAAGGAAAAGATTGCCTGCATGCTCCTGTGACCATGCCTATTCAATCTTACAAGCATATGTACATATTATGTAGGTGTATCATAAAAAATACTCAGGCACATTGCCCTCCAAACAGGAAGCTGACGTGCAAAGCTTTCCAACGTGGCCACAATATTTTAATATGTGTACATACGTTATGGAAGATTCAACCCTGAATAATGCAAAAAGGGTTATTCTATTGTCAGTAAGAATCCTGGTTTAGACTAATTCACAGTGAAATGTCAAAAAAGCCATTAATGCAAACCCATAGTAGTGCTTCAGTCAGTAAGAGTAACTTTCAGCTGGAAGATTAATAAAAATGCAGAGAAGAAAAATAAAACACCTTAGGTGCATTTCAAAACTCACCCACATTTGGTGGTTTCCCATAATTTACAGGTAGTTCGGGAGGCCGGCCTCTGTGAAGAGCTGCAAATGCAGATCCTTTCCATAGCGTATGTCTGAAGTCTGTACCGGCAAGATTAACAGCAGGTTAATTAAACAATCAGTCAAACGTGGTCCAACTGACCTGTTCTTGGAATCAAGAGCATCAAGCACCACTTCCAGCATCCCAAAATAAGACTTGTCTTTTTAAATAGTTTCTCAGAGATCTAACCCTTAAAGAAGATTGGTACTCTGATTTCTAGTTCCTAAGCAATATGACTGTATATGGTTTCAGCTTATTTTGGCTTCATTTTGGTGAATAGGGAGTCTAAATTGATGGAAAGAAAAAGAGAATTAAAAAAGTGGGTGTACTTTGTATTGAGGCAGGATTGAACTTTGGCATGGTTTTAGTCCTTCTGCAATCCCAACAGATACAGGACCTCTTCTTACGAACTGCACATTTGAGAACACACAGACATGCACACATTTGCTCCCTGAAAGTGGGAGAACTGAGATTTTTTTTTTTTCCAATAAATCTGTTTTCCTGCAATTGGTGGCAATATGCCCTCCTTTCGGATTCTCCTCTGCACCCCACCCCCCCAAAAAACATTGTTTTTAAAATGAAGACTGTTTTCTTTAAAGACTCTCCAGCTATCTCCTGCCAACTGGCCTCAGAGAGCCTTCTCTCTAGAACAATAGTGATTTTTCTGAGACTGTTCAGAATGCCTCAGAAATTAGACCTGGAGTTCTTCCACTTCTGGCCATCTGGAAGGAGAGAAATGAGTTTCCACAGTGAATAAGCACTGAAACAGAAGGATAGTGCCACAGATTGGTGGATCTGTGTATCACCCTTTAGATGTCCGAATATGAAGTGCACAAGCTTACGTGACTCAAAGAGACTCCCAAGAGCACCTTCTGATTAAAACCCAAACCATACCACAGAGTATTACAATGACACACACTAAAAACAGCACTCATAGTTTCTAAAATAGATCAAAATAGCTATAAATACTGATGGTAAATGGAAACTTCATACTGATGCACAACTAGGGGGAGCGGAAATCCATGTACATCAACTTTGAAAAAGGTATGCTGTTTCATATTAGTGAGAGTGGTTTACACACCAAATTGCAAAATATCACAGCACCTTTTTCTGAATGGGAAAAAACCCACCATAAACCTAGTAGAAATCTAGAAATCTCTTTGCAATGAATTTATCACAGAGCTTAGGAAGTACTACATCTTTCAGTGATTCATCTAGCCTCAGTCCCCTAATTCATCTAAGAAACTTCTGTTCCCCTGCACAAAAATGTTTATTTTCTCTTTGCATTTTGTTGCTGGTTTCTTCTAAGATGCAAACTGACTGTGAAAAGAAGGAACGTTTCTCTGCAAGTCTCCCTGCAAACTTGAAATTCTCCATTCAATTATTGCAAAGCATAGGCAAAACAAGACTCAGTCCCAAAACTTTGTGCAAGGAAACATGTTTGCAAACAGCACATCCCTCCAGGTGATATCCAGTGGATCAGCAGAATCCTACAGTCCTTGTTAGCATCAGAGTGTGACTTCACAGGATGCGGTAAATTAAGTGCTCAACCGCCTCCGAAACAGGAAGGTCCTGCTCTCCCATCCCCGCTCCTCTCCCAGAACGATGCTCCTGCTGCCTGCAGCACTCTGATCCATCCATGAGATAATTTAATTCACTACAACAGCAATAACGAATTTTGCAACATTTTAGCTCTCTGAATCAGCACATCACAGGATCAAATAAGTTCTGGCTCCTACCGGGAAGAAGTGGCAGGGACATGGAGCGAGGAGGGAAGGGAGGAACCACTCTTTTCAATAGCAGATGGCTCTCAGATCTGTTCAGTTATACCACGAAACTCTGCTCTCAGGATCATTATCTCAAGCAGAGCAGTTTTTCAAAGGGAATAGGACTAGTGCCCTATTCATGAAAGGAATGGGGGCTTTCATTCAAATTAACTTTAAGCAAGGACAAGCAGGAATTGCCATTGAAGAATCAGTCTCACCTCCTCCCACTCTCTAAATGCTGCCCCAAATGCCACCCTGCCTTTCCAGCTGACACATCTGCCTGCACGGCCAGGGAATCAAATAATGGAAACAAATTCAACAAATCAGCCTGAAAACTGGCCCAGCAAAATATATAGACTGCTGGATTATTTTAGACATAGGCATGTGTATATGTCTATGAAAAAAAGGGCTATTTTTCAGATGAATCAAATCTCTAATCCAGTTCATCACATTATTTACAGAAACACCAGTCCAACATGCTGGGGAGGGGAGGTAGAGGAAGCAGATAACAAGATCAGGCAACTGTAGGCAAGACCCACTTAAGATGGCATTTTCAATCAAAGCAGCATATATGTAACAGGGCCAGCAATAACTGCATTTTAGCAAGACTGCAACAAGAAAGCCGGCAAGCATAGCAGACAAACAAGGGTTCATGCAAACACACACTGATACCACAATATGAATCGAAACAAAAGGGGGTTTGATCATTAAAATAAAATTCAATCACACATAAACTGAGAATCTTACCTTTTGCTGCCCTTAATAGAGACTGGCGCCCGACACCTAGCAAAGTCTGCACACCTAGGACACTCTGTGGGATTTCCTTGTCTAAAAGGGGTCCAAGTCTCTCACAGATCCTAAGAAGATAATCCGGAGGGATGTGTGCATTGACAGCCACCTAAACACATAAATAACACAGCCATTTGAAAATTGTTTTATTCTTGCTTCTACTGGTATTTCTTTGTTTGGTTCATATTCAAGTGTTAAAGTTAAATAAAGTTACTGAAATTCAGTGTAAATCCCTGGAAAATCCCTCAAAATTAATGATACCCAAGATGTCTTTTCAAGTGACATGTTGAAAAAGTCAGACAAGAAATTCCAGGTGGTAGTAGCTACCTTTGTAATTTAGGATATCCCTCAAAAACAAACAAAAATCCCTGAAACTCAAGAGTTCCCAGTGCAGTACTCTGATCAAACAAAGTATTGCCTGGGGACTTTTTAAAGTCTTTTTTACCCTCAGTTCATTCTTTTCACATACAATATTTCTTGCTTAGCTGAAACACCCTTGCCAGACACTCAAATTACTGTAAGAAGCACGTGCTAAAGTCTAAAAACCCTAAACATTATCCTAAAAGCAATACCCAGTCTCCAGTTCTTAGGTACTGGGAATAAGTATCTTTAAGACCCACATGTGTAGGCTCCGCTCTTTATTTGTCATCTCAAGAAAACATTGCTTTTCTCCTTTAGACAGAGACTGTTTTCTATGGAGAGACAATAGCTTTTCCGATAGTCTGTTCAAATAGCAAATAAGTTGTGCCTCATTATCCAGAATGTCCTGCACTTGCCTGACTTTTACTATATTTACTAGCTGGCAGCACAAACTCAACATCAGAGCTTATTTAGCTCCTTCAACACAGGACATACAGCTACATCCATCTCCTTGTTAAAGATCAACAGTAACAGGTCACTCAGCTCTTACATACCCGTGATTGAAGATGGAAAAAATAGTTGTATGGGAACCATTTACAACTTTTGTATTTCTTGCAATATTAGGAAGAAAGACATTGTCATAAACCAGTTTTTTGTTTTACCAAGCCACAAACTAATGCCAAATAATACTAAAGCTGACCTGAAACGGCCAGAACAGTGCTCATTGTAAAGAAATAACAGCAGGCATGTGCCTGCGCACACCCCTCTCTCCTACATGACCACTTCAAATGTGCCCAGTCGCAGGCCCACACCGGTGACAGGGCTGTGAGCGCTCACCACCCATGCAGTTCCCTCCTGGCGGGGTAGGACAGGTTTTTGTGCAGCTGCAGTGAGCCAAAATGATTCCCCAGTCTGGCTTAAACCATGACCAAACTCCCCTCTGCATCAGCTCCAGTACTCATCCGCTGCGGAGGGAGTTGTTTCAGCTCCCTTCGCTAGGAACGCTCACCCGACAAAAGAAGGCAAAGGTTCATCTGCCACCTTTAGCAAAGCTGACCGCGATTCAGAGACACGTCAGAGCTGGTGGAAAGCAAGGCACAGGACCACTTCTTTCAACAGCAGAACATCGTCAGACAGGCCCAGGTATCCTGCCTACCTAGACCCCAAGGATATGCCCAGCTCCTGCCCCAGCACACCGGGGGGACTGGCACACATTGGGAAGGAGGAAAAGGTAAAGAACTTCACTCAGACCTGCTGCCAAAACTTTGTTCACTGAACTATGTCATCAAACCGATTATTACTACATGTCATTGGGAAATTTTTTGCTCTAATTGGGCAACAGCAGCGGTGCTACGGGGCTCAACAGAGTGAGTCATGCGTTGTATAACGTAATCACCTGCATCACAAGCAGGATCAACACCACCCCACAAATAAGACTTTAAATAAAAAAATAGGGAAGGCTTTTCTAAAGATACATAAAAATTATCATTTATCTAAACCCAACAAAAAACTCTTCCAATCTGAATGGAAACTCCTACAGAAGACAAACAAGCTTCTCCTGTCACTGCATGTTAAAGATATGGCTCTGGCCTTTTGATGGAAACAGAAGAATCGTACCTCTGCAGGACAGAGAAACCTGATGACTGCATTAACATGGTCCCATTCCATGACTTTCCATACTGTAAGCAGTAAGCAATCACCCCATGAATGCTCTTTTGCACTGACTGTTATCTCCCGACATTCTACTGTTTTGGTTTTTTCCCCCCAAAATCACAAGAGTTCCAAAATTATATTGGTACCTTCCCGACTGTACAGCCAGCGAAGTTCAGTGTATAAGCATGAATTGTCTTTCATTGTAAATTACATGATGCAATAGAAGGCAAAATGAGATAAAATCCAACTTTTGTATTTGCCTATCATTCTTGCTCACTCCTGAAATATTATAAAAGTGTTAATGCTATTATCCTGCGCTAGCCTCCCTTCAGTATGTAAGGGAACTGAAAGAATCTGAAACAAAGGTAATTCTAAAGAGAGCATCTGCAATTTAGTAAAATCTGAGTATGAAATTCTTTTTTACATCTCTGATAATTAGTAACATGCTTCTTGGTCAACAATCGCCAATTCTAGCAATTTATCAAGCTTAAGATTAAAAGATTAAAAAGAAAAAGGGTAACCAATCCAGAAGCTGTGGAATTTTACATTTTAGTTCTAGGGCAGGAAAAAACGCAAACCATACCACCCTTTCCGGAAATATAAAATTTCACAGAAAGCCCAAACCATTCTCCTAGTGTAACACAGCAAAACGCTTCCCTTTCCACTCAGGAGCATGCTGGTTTTGAAGTATCGCCGCTACTCTACATCTACAGAGAGGTACTGAACTAAGCCTGGCAGCAAATATCCTACTGCGGAGACAGAGCACAAGTTATTCAACAAGTAGTCCTGATTAACTCAGTGCATCTACTCAGAAATGAAAAGGGACTTGGTTGCTTAAAGATCAGCAGATTAAGCCACAGATTTATAAAGAACAGCAAAGAGAGTGAACATCAACACACGTGCGGACCGGCCGACACTCAAAGATGAAAAGATGGATGCACCAGACTCACGGAGTATGTGGCGGTTATCTGCACGTGCCTGGTGGTAATTTGCCTGGGACATCCAGACGTTAAACAGCTCAGGATCCCAGACATCTGCTTGATTGCTGCCCAGACCACAAAAGTTGGCAAATCCATCACGAAGCCAGAGTTAAAGTGGCTGTGAGCTGCCGAAGCATCTAGATTTTAGCGCAGTTTTATTAGACTAAACTTTCCTAAGAGAGATTTAATGCAGAGCATATTGCACAGACCAGGCACATATCAAAGTGACCGTTCACTTTATTAACACGCCCTACTCACCAGCTTTGCCACCTGCAATCAGAACTATGCCATATTACAGAAGAAAGACTGTATCACACTTCTTTCCCTGCACATTTTAGTGTTTCTGCAAGCCAGAATCGCCAGAATAAGTGGCCCTTGATCTGGATATTATCACTGTTGTTTTTACCAAACAGCTACACAGGCAGGCAGCAATAGCAGTAAATTCTCCTGGAGGTTTTTTTCCATAATAACTTCCAGATAAAATGCTTAAACCGCAGCCCGGAGCAAAACAAGCAATTCTATTTTCAGGTTCCCAAAAGAACTTGAAACAAAAATCCTTCCTTTCACCTCTGCGTGAGATAGCTGTAAATGGATTTTAAGTATCTTTCCAAAACATGAAGCTGCAAACATACAGCTGAGAAAAACAAAGTCTCCCAAATCAGATTTTCATTAAAAGAAGAATGGAAAAAGGCAAAGTTTAGCATCAGTTATAGCCACACCTCTTAGTGTACGCTAGTCCAAAGCCCATACGGCAAAACTAAGCAATGGCAAGGATATTATCACCTCCTCAAATATATTAGAAAATATTTTAGAAAAAAATTAGAAAATTAGACAAAATTAGAGACGAGTAATACAGGCCAAAAATATGTTTAACAGGAGCTTTTTAAAAGAGTATGTTAAAATAATGCAGAAGAGCTCAAAACGTGCTAAGTGAGAGCAAGTTCTGCACCCTGGGATAAATTATAAAGAGAAAAATGTTTGTTGCCTTAAGATGTGAAAGACCCTATCAAAGTTAAAATGTGAGAGCACAAGAATGTCACAGTACCACGGAAGGATTCTCTGATGCAGTAACCATACAGGTCTTATGGATCTAAAAACTTTCAAGAATTGGGTAAAGTGAATCCATTCTTTTTTTAAAAATCTACATAAACAACCACAGGGGAATGTAACAGAGTCATGACTGCTTGAACTAGTATGCAAATAAGTTGCTACAGCGATAAGCAGCAGCAAGTAAAGAACTATTAGTGAAGTCACGTCAGGGCTAGGAGAAAGTCATACCCCTAAACCTGTTTATGCTTCTGTTGTTGGAAGCATTACCATGCAATCGCAAAGACTACTGAGCAAAGGGTCCTCACTGGACAGCTAAGAAGACAGGCAAGAAGCTTGTTGATCCCTGAAAAAAAAACCCAAACAAAATCCCCTGGTACCACTGCTGACAATTTCTCCTCCAAGGAAGGTGTCAATAAACAGGAAACAAACAAACAAACAAACAAAGACTCCTTGTGATTACTACTTACAGGAAGACATCTGTCTTCCCAGGGATCGGAACCAGATAGCTTTGAGATACGTCTTTTGGGAAGCCCGGTGAAACATTGCTTCAAAGCACAGGCTAAATTTGACCAAGAGCTGCATAATGGAAGCCACGCAGGCAGCAATGCAGACCTTCGAAGGCTCCTTCGTAGTCGGTCCCCCGTGGGCAGGCAGGCCGGCCGCTGCACATCAGCAGCAGATTTCTAACCTCCAGGCAGTCGTACGACATTTCTCTCATTTGCCGAAATAACAATCAATTAAGAATCAATTGACAACTGTATCAAAAAGCAGCAGAGGAGACCAAGAGGACGAAGGCAGCTGAGCAAGCAGGAAATTACTCAAGACCTCAAATATGGAATCTCAGCAAAAGGAAGCTCAGATACTGGACTTGCACAAGATGTCAACAGTATGCAAATACACATGAATTTAAAAAGCCATTATCCACTCAGTTTCCCCAGAGAGAACGAGTTGGAACTACCATACTACCAGATGACATTTTCCTGAGGTGACAAAACCGTAACATCTCTTCCCTGCTAATGCTGGGATTGGCAGCGTCTATAAATAACAGCACCTCAGACTCATAGCTAGTTTTAAATCAATGCAGATGGGCAAGGCAGAAACTCAAAGCCAAATCCCATAAGCTGTTCCATACCAGCACAGCCGTTCATGGATGCAAATTCTCCACTTGAATACACTGTCCAACCATAGCTGATTTTCTGGTTTTCCCTGAAACTATACGTATCTTCAGCAGAAGGACCAAAACAGGCTGAGCCAGAAGAGACAGCCCATCAAAATGTTCTTGAAAACCAGACCAGAGCGAGCCATCTTTATCAGGAATAAACAAAGATAATTTCGAACAGCAGTTCACTGGAGACTGTTCTGATAATCTGAGTCGGTTCAGCTTGACTCGTCTGTACAACAGCTGACTCCACATTGAACTGCTAAGGTTAATTTAAAATCAGAGTACTAATTGCATGCAAGTCTGACATACTTCAGGCCTTTGTAAGGAGAGCGAGGACTCTCCCCTTTACAAATATGTTTCATGACTAAGACCACCAGCAGTCAATAACAAAGTAAAAACCACTTTGGAGTACACCTGGACCATTACTTAGACAGGCAGCCACATGTTGCACATACAAAGTACTCCAAAGTGGAAATAAGCAGGAAAGACAAAGGGAACAGAAATGCACGTAAGCTAGTGCTCTCTGCGTGGTTTTGCTCACTAGGTACGACTCTTATTAGTGTGTCTTAAACTACTCTTTTGCCTTGTGGTACCTGACATTTAAAGTAAAAGACCAAGTTGAAATAAAAAAGAAAAAGAAATCTCAACAAAGTTTTCAGATC